AGTAATATTAAGTAGTTATCTATATATATATATATATATGCATTTACTGTGCACTACTGAATTTAATTGAAGAGAAATAAAATTTTATGTAAAGTTATTTTAGAGAACTTTTGGCAAATATAGTTTTTTTTTCAGTAACTTTATTTTGATCTTTGTATAAGTGGTTCAGAAAAAAATCCAAGATTTTCATTGAACTCACTTTTCGCTAATGAAAAGCTGTATTTATTAGTTATATTTATTATTTTTGCACTCTCTCAAAAAATACTTTCATTCACATTGTAGATATTTGGTAATATGCTCTAGGTTAATTGCTCTTTCAAGGTGTAGACTGATCAAACTTACTTGCCACATAATAACTTGAACATGTATTATGTATTACAAAGGAATATACTTCTTTATAAAATGCTAACTGTTAAAAAACACTAAAATGATTATGTAATTAATTGTTTGCTAAGGTTTTTTTTCTTTTCCCTGAGTAAGAAGTTGATACACCCTTACTTTTAACACTTCTGTTGAACTTCCTAAATGATAACTACGATATTTACAAAAGTTTTTAGTGCTACTGCACTCTATGTTTGGGGGGTACATGCATGAATGTAAAGAATATTAGGAGATAATCTTATTTTCCATCAAAAGAACAAAACACTGTGTATTTAGTACATTTAGTGATAATTTATAGTAAAATATGTATTTCAAAAGCATTAAATGTGGAAAAGTTAGACACTGATTGATTCTTTTCTCAAATCATCATTAACCTAGTTAAGAAATGTTTTTCAAAAGTTTTGAACATTTCTCACATATATATATATATATATATGTTTTGTTCATTGTTCTTCAAGCAATGAAACCTAGAGAAGAATTTAATATTTACTTTAAATTTCTGATACTGCTTAACTTGCAATGAATGGAGTAAGAAAATTAGCACAAAATTTAGTTATGAAACCTTTTGCAAATTTTTCTTAAATGAAATAAAAATTGCATTTCATAGGCGCAGGGGTTTACTTTCAGAATTTTTTCATAGGTGCAGGGGTTTACTTTCAGAATTTTTTCTGTGGTGGGGAAAGATTTTATTTGTTGATTGATATGGCAAAAGGCACAATGTCTTTAAACGTAGTTTTATTGTATTCCCCAAGAGTTTTTTGCAAGTTTGTTTAAAATGGTACAGTTTTAAAGGTACCTAGCTTTTTCTTACCAAAAGTTATCTTCTTGAAATAAAACCTAGAAATTTGTAAAAAAGAAAAATCAGGGGAGGAGTATTTAGTTTATGGCAGAATCTTCCTCCTTCCCTATGGAAAGAAAATATCTGCATAGAGGTAAATTTGCACTGATTGTTGAGGTTAAAGTATCAAACAAATAGCATGTCTATATATATATATATATATATATATAAATACATACATACATATACGCATTGCTTCTCCATGTTTGAAGATAAGTAATTTCTGTAAATTAACTTTAATTTTGAATTATGCATTAGACAAAGCCAAGTATTATTTTAGTTGAGATGTTACATCTACTTGATAAAATTTCTCTCTTACAATGCTAAGTAAGTCAATTTGTTTAAAGATTAGTTAACAGTTAATATTGGTGTTTTACTATCTAGAAGAGTTACAAGTATCAGTGATAAGAGTTGTTTATAAAGCCAAATAAAAAAATATATATATTGTTTTAATAACCTGTATTCTGTGTCATACTAGATTTAAGAATTTTGTACTGAAAGAAATTTTGTGCCATTTATTAGGTTAATTTTAAAAAAATGTGATCCTCAGTGCATGTACAAGGAAAAAAACTGAATTTTTTGTTTGTTTTTTCAGATTACTTAACATGGATATTATTAATAAGTTTATGAAGTGTAGCAGTTTTAACTTGATGAAAATAACATATGAATAAGTAAAACATAGCATGTTTTGTTTTAATTCTTAGAATTACTTACACATGTAAAATCATACTTATCAAATCATATAAATAGGTAAAACATAGCATGTTTTGTTTTAATTCTTAGGATTACTTACTCATATAAAATCATACTTAGTTGTGTTGTCAAATAGATTAAGAGCAGTATTTCTTTACCAATTACAAAAACACAATTTTTGAGATATAAGTAGCTGAAAACTTCATAAAACTCCAATGAAAATATTACAAAAGAGTCACTGTCAAAAAAGTTTTAAACATGATATTCTGTTATTCTTTTTTTTTTGTATGTATTTTAATTAGTTATAGACAGATGACTTTTTTTTTCAAGGATGAAGCCTTATGATACTGTATTCTGCAAGAAACCTATTTAACTTATTCCTAAACGTAATTTACACAAACAGTATCAATTTTTACTACATACTGACAACTTACCAAAAAAGCAAAATATTATTAATCATTTTATTCAACTACATATAATAGCATTTTTTCTCTTACAGCTAATTTTACTTAACTGATAAATGTTGATAGAAATGGGTTTTTTATTAGTTGTAGCTAATTATGAACATACTTGTCATAAACACTAACAAGAATTAAACTGTAAACATGATTTTGGAAGTAATCAACTTCAACTTTTGCTTCTATAGAGCAGGTATAGGGAAGACAACATGGTGTCTATAGATCATGGGAAATAAAATTCCACAATTTTTCATGACAAAAAAAAATTGCATATCCTATTTTACTCTGGCAACTTAAGGTCAAACTTAATAGCACATAAAGAAGACATACCATCCATATTTCTTATTGCACATTATTAATCCAGTTCTTGTATTCTTCTTTACATTAATATTTTTACAATTATTTATTTTATTTAACAGTTATGGTTAAATGGTAATAACTAACTTTACTTTTACAGCCAGCACAATTACAATAATGGTAATAAAATAATAATGTCTGAACAAAAATAGTATGCTTCCATGGCTAAAAGTATAATGACTAATTTAGCCAGGTCTTTGTAACTAAATTACCATTTATCTGACCAAGGGGTATTTCTTCTCAGATTGATGCAGATGTGTACCCCAGTAGAATAGCAGAAATTCTTCAGTTTTACAATGCTAAAATAAGGGGTTTGATTCCCCTCGGAGCATATTGCTTAATGAGGCATTGCTGTAATAAAACACACATGATGAAGATGCATTCAAGGAACATTTTACATTTGTCCTTAGAAGAAAGTATGCTAACTTTCAACTTTATGTGTTTGACTTCTCATTACTTCTCTTTGTGACACCATTAGTAAATAGTTTTTAAAGGTTTGTCATACCAGATACCAGTCATCTCTCTTTATAAAATGACTACTAATGCTTTGTAGTTTGCTCTATAGCTCTTTGTAAAGGAAAAGAAACAGGAAGTCATTCAACTAAAATATAAATAGGAAAGGTTCCAACTCATGAACGAAAGATTTAAAAAATGCTAATTTTGTTGCTGATTGCTTCTTAGCCAGGACATTCTTCACCTTACCAAAGTTCTTTGACACTTGAAGCCTGTTCTTTACAGCATCAACAGTTTTCAGAAAGAGAGTCATTTTTAGTGCTTATTGGATAACCTTTGAATTTGGAATCCACCTTATACCACAGAATTGAATGGGAACACACTAAACATCCAAGAATGATGCTTATACTTCCATTGCTTTAAAGGAAATTTTCTTGAAACTTCAATAGAAGGCTCACAAGAATTGTGTATTTTACCCATCCACTCTAGTTGTGGACTGTCATGGAACTCCCATGGATATTATGGAGAGAACATGTTCTATTATCAACAATTTTAAAACCATCTGGGTCTGAGATGTTGCTTTGGAAAGGCAATTTGAAGTTGAAAAGAAAAAAATACACTAACATTAGACCCACCTACAG